AGTCTCATTTAATACCAAACTACTTAAAATGTAAGCTCAGAGATAAACAGCTGAGGTAAAACGTTAACGAGATACACAGAAAACAGAAAAGCAGAAACAACAGGCAACTGCAATGGCAAGCTAAGGCAAAAAACAAGAAAGAGTTTAACTAACCGTAGAAAACAGCGTCACAGGGGGCAGAGCTCAGCACTATCACATCTTAACAAGAACAAAATGATGGGAAAATACTTAAAACATGAAACAGAAAAAAAATAAAACCATGAAACGGTGTCAAACTTTAAAAATACAATAACTGGAATAAACACAATGTCTATAGTATTAAAAAAGAAAGAAGAAGAAAATCCAAGTGTATTCATTTAACAGCTCCTTGTAGAAACCACTAAGCAGGGGCTGGAGCTCCCTCAGTGTCAAGAGCACTTACTACTCCATCTCAAGGACCAGAGTCTGGATCCCAGCACCCCCATCAGGAGGCTCACAAGTATCTGTAGCTCCAACCGCAAGGCCTCCAAAGGCATCTACACACAGACACATGCACATGTATAGAAACAGAATAAATTTTTTTTTGTTTTGTTTTTTGAGACAGGGTTTCTCTGTATAGCCCTGGCTGTCCTGGAACTCACTCTGTAGACCAGGCTGGTCTCGAACTCAGAAATCCGCCTGCCTCTGCCTCCCAAGTGCTGGGATTAAAGGTATGTGCCACCACTGCCGGCTGGCTCTGACTTTTAAAAATATAATAAGACTGAACATGGTGGTACACATCTTTAATCCCACCATTTTGGAGGCAGAGAGGCAAGAGGATTTTTGTGAGTTCAAGACTGGCCTGGTCTATATAGTAAGTTCCAGGACAACCAGGGCAACAAAGAACTAAAAAACAAAAAATATATATGCATACATAATAACCAAATTTTACTGCCCTTTCATGAGAATATATATAAATAAGCAATTCTGCTTCTACACTTTACGCATTTGCAATAAAATACAAATGACTTCCCACAGCACTGCCCTTTGTTTGATGTGTGTCAGCCTGCCTACTGTTTCCTTTCCTATATAGTTGTGCACCTGAATTTTGGCTGTGTCCCATCTTGGTTCTGAGAGTAGTTCTGTGTACTGCAGAGCACTCCCTCTAGTCCTCCCTGCCACTGCCCCCAGGCAGGCACTTGCTGCCTCATAGCACTTTCACTATCCTCTGGAAATTGCCTTGCCTGCTCCTCTAAGCATAAAGACTGCACAGCCTCATCACCTTGGCTCACTGTAGTGTCCACGACATGCTGGGAGGTGTTCTGTGCATGGGAACAAATAAACACGCAGGACAGTCGAGATAAGAGAGCTGTGGATGGCTTAGAACAATGCTCACTATAAATACCACACTGAGTGCTCCCAAGCTTCTTTGGTTGTTTTATTAGTCTTTAAAACTAGCACAGAAAGCAAAACTTCCCAGTTACTGGTTAATGGTAGTAACATAGCTTACTGTTTAGAACAGAGATGTTGTGACTATAGTTACTATGTTGCCAGGAAGTTGCAAATATTAATAACAAATGGAAAGACTGGGGGGGGGACTGTAACTCAGGAAATGAGTAATAAAGGTAGTCACAGTAAATCCTCATATCTGTCCCTCAAATACTATAGTTTTTCTCTGCTACCAGATACCTGATGGGATCACACCAACACCACCATATTAATTTTAAATGACATATGCCAACATGAGTGTGGCCAATTAATGTCACATATTAAGACCAAGTGTCCACAATCCCTTGTTCCTGTGTAACCACAATAGGACAGCACCACAACAATCCAGAGTATGCAGCAAAGAGCAGCAAATAAGTTGGGGCTGTGTTAAGCCACTGGGCTGGGGCGCTGTTTGCTACCTCTGCAAAACTGAGTATACCTGGGCTGCTACAGTAAGAGGCTTTAGCCATCTGACCGGCTGCTGACTGCAAAGCTCCTTTCTCACTCTGGAATGACCACCTCTTGGTCCTCAATGTCTTCAGTCACAAAGTGGGAATTCTGATGCCCATATTTCATAGGTTGTTTTACAAAAGGAAAATATGTATATATCCTTAACAGAGAGCTTGGCAACTGTGCTAAGAACTCAATAGATACAAAATGGAACTCAATAGATACAAAACTCTAGCATATCTAAGCTAGGCTACTTTGAGCCTATTTACATTGTGCCACTAAATAACCTAGGAAACAGGAGAATATCACAGAGATGATCTCTAAATTACAATAGTCTAAGATACAAAAGAAAAAAGTTGCAATTGCTTTGGCTTTACAGTGAGTTTAGTAGGATGTAACCACATTGTAAGTCCAGGAGCAACTGTATAGGGTAGAATGCTAATGAGGAAACAAAGGACAGCTATGATCTAAAAACAGAGACAATACAACATGAGGGCAAAGGTGACTCTGACTGCCAGCTAGGCATGGCAGTAAGGTAGAACAAGGACTCACCTGCACAGCAAGCTATGCTCCCTCTCAAGAGGAAAGAGATGGCAAGTGAGTAGGTACTAAATGAGAAACAATAAAGAACTCATGTTCTAGGGTATTAAGCCCCAGAAATGGCTGCAGAGGGAGAGCCTAGAGGGACTTGGAACACCCCAACACAAAAGAGTGGTGTGTACAATATGGGCACGCTTTGAGTGCTATCACCCCTCCTAAAGGATTTTCATAAGCAACCAGGCCCTCTCCAGATCATCCCTGTGCCTCAACTGGCTCATTCATGGGAAAGAAACGAGTTTGTGCTACTGTACCATAGACCACAGCCACCATAGGACAGCTCTGACTGCTGAACACAACAGAGAGATGCCAATCATTTCCTGCAGAGAAAATTCTACCCAAGCATAAAATAACTTTAGGATTCTAATTATAAGTAGTCTTGCTCAAGTTTAAACTTTATTCTACCTGAATTGTGTCATGTAGTTATTTGGAAATTTTTAGTACAATCTGACTGAAAACATGAGTGACAACTGCAAGAACAAAAACTATAAACTACTCTGAATTTTTTTTAATTACAAGAACAGTTGTGGATGAACATAATGTTCCAACTTAATAAAGAAATTTAACTGAAAGTGCTCAAGTTTTAGTCAGAAAAAGGGGAATGGTTTTATGATCAAAATAAATCTTTCCTTATTGTCAGACCATTTCAATCACACACCAGTCAGAAATGTGCTAGTCGTTAGAGCGCACTTACTATCCTCCTGATCCTTGGCATTTGGCATCAAAGGAAGCCCTGCACAAATCTAAGATTAAAACTTGTCAAAAGTAACATAAGATGGCTAAAGAGCCAAAAACTGAAATGGTTATTATTACACCTCTTTTGAAATAGCATGCACATTCTTCATTTGACACAATCGGATTATGTTAAAGCAGAAATGTAAAGTATCAGAAAATAATAATAGTAATAATAACAATAATAACAATAAAGTCTAAACATTCTTGAAATCTAACAGACTCAGTAGGACAAGAGAATCAACAGTCAGCTCCTCAGATGAATGAACACAGAACATAAGAACAAAGCCTGCATTCGAATCCCACTTTGGAAAGTCGCCATCACTCCACCCAGAACTGACTCCCTAACACGCTCCAGACTGCGGAAAAGCCAATGCTCTGAGTGACCAGGTTCACATTAAAAATCAATCTTAAATTAAGAAAATAAATTAAATGCATACATAAATATACCTCTGATGGATGATCCCCAAAAATCCATTCTACTTTCTTTCCTAACCCCTCACCATTTCAAATAGAAGCTGCCTTCAAAAGCATGTCAGTAAATCTTCAGCTATTACTATAATGGAGACCATGTGCCCATGTGCTCACCAGATTCATGTTTATGAGGTATAGTCCTGTGTATTAAAATAAACTTATTTTTGATAATGAAAACACTGAAATCAAAATGACCCATTCCAACAATTTCACCTCTCTCAATGCAACATGGGATAGAATTTATTAAATTAAACTTTATCACCTCACGAAATTATACTTGTGCTTTCTAGTTAGAATCATCTGGAAATGATTTTTTAAGGGTCTAAAGTTTCAATTGATAAGATACAAAATGTTTTCAAGTCTTAAATGTTTTAAGCTATGAAGTAAAAAAAAATACCTAATTTACATTTTTGTTTTTCACATATTTAAAAAAATTGCTTATGAAAAATTTTAGGATAATGTATATTGGTTTTTCTGAGACAGGTTCCCTCTATTCTGTAGCTCTGGTTGCCCTGGAACTAGCTCTGTAGACCAGGCTAGCCTCAAATTCACAGAGATCCAACTGCCTCTACCTCCCAAGTGCTGGGATTAAAGACATGCTTATGAAAGCCTTTAGGAGATTGTTTCTAACATCCATAATTGTCTGTAACTGTGAGAGTGAGACAAAAAATAAGAAAATTGCTCTAGATTGCACGAAAATCACATAGCTAATACCAATTATCGGATCACCCCTGAGGTTATAGAAATATCCCACAGCAGATTAGTTTACTCTCCCAGTAATCACACATCCTCCTGCAAAAGAAAACATCTTATATCTCAGTATCTGCATTCTATACTTTATACAAACGACTTTCAAGAACAAGATATTTGAAAGTTTGTTTGAGCAGTAGTGTCTCTAAAAATGATTTTTAATCTCAGAAAATTACAAAAAGTCCAGAGAACAAAAGATTGATATGTGCCAAACCAACAAAAAACAAACAAACAAACAAACAAACAAACAAAGCCTATTTCTAAGTGCAGCAAAAGAGAGGTTAAAAAAGAAAGTCTGAGCTGAAGTTCCTAAGTTAGTCTCCCTTAGGACCCAAAGAAACAGCAACCCACAGCAAGCAATGCACATGCTACACCACACACAACTCACACTAGGAAAGCAACAGCGGATGGATAATGGTGTTAGGAAACAAAAGCAAGCATTCAAGAGGAAGGAGCGAGGGAGTGTGTGTGTGTATTGCTATCTTTAAAAATCAATAGCTTGCCTAACATCTAGGTCATGAATTTGTATAAATTTTTATTTTTAAACTCACCTGATGCATTTTCAATTCCTGTTGTGTTCTGTAAAGATACACACAACAAAGAAACTTCTTTGATTACATGAGCCCTAAAAAGAAAAACAGACAATTGTAATATCCACCTGCCTGTAAGTTTACAGTGATTTTAAACCACATATGAACTATAGGTGTGCTCCAAGGACTAGTCATAAAGCGATCCATGCCAGTCAACCTCAGTCCACACTGACCACTTCTCAGATTCATTATACTAATCTTCTCACTAAACCTTACTACGATCGCACCGTACTCTATAATCAAAGCAGTACCATCAGAATGACTTCATATTTTTGGTTAAGAATTATATCACTCCTTAGGAGAAATAAATTAGCTGTGTTAATAGTCAGAAACACAAAGCCTGAATGAGTCAGTGGTGTGCGATGCAGATATCCTTCTTTTGCTTTCAATATTTGCTGCATGCAAAAACAATTAGACTCCATTACTCTGTTTTCAAGCTCCTGAAGCAGTAAGGTGGATTGACCAAAAAGAGCCACGTGAAATTCTCTTCAAAGGGAAGAATAAAAAGCAGACAGTACCATGCAAAGGCTTTTAATAGAGGTCTGGAGAGAGCTACAATTATATCTCTCAAGTGTCAGATTTGACATAGTCAAAGACATGACAACAAAAGGTCTTCTTGTAAATGTATGATATACAGTCATATACCTCCTAACAATAATATAGTCAACCAATGACCACATATACACTGAGGATTCCATGAAACTGTTTTGTTGTCTCATGGTGTAGCACTGGTCTCAGCAATGGTGTACCAGTATATACATGACATTTAGAAACAAAACTACCCAATGACACATTGTCAGAACATACTCTTAAGTAGTATGTCACTGGATTCACTTCCAAATTATAATCTACTAGCCCGGTGTGGGGTCACACTGTGATTCTAGCACTTAAGTAGAGACAGGAAGATTCAGAGTTCAAGGCCAGCTTGAGGTACATAACACTGCTATCTTTAAAAATCAATGCAGGGCCGGGCAGTGGTGGTGCATGCCTTTAATCCCAGCACTTGGGAGGCAGAGGCTGGAGGATTTCTGAGTTCAAGGCCAGCCTGGTCTACAGAGTGAGTTCCAGGACAGCCAGGGCTATACAGAGAAACCCTGTCTTGAAAAACCAAAAATAAAAAAATAAAAAAATAAAAAATAAAAAAATAAAAATCATCAATGTAGGGCTGGAGAGATAGCTCAGAGATTAAGAGCACTGACTACTCTCCCAGAGGATTTGAGTTAGATTCCTAGCAATCACAAGGTAGCTCACAACCATCTATAATGGGACCTGACGAACTCTTCTGGAATGCAGGTGTACATGCAGATAGAATATACATAAAATAAATAATAAATCTTTTTTTAAAAAAGTTGATTCAGACGGTCCTTTCTAAGGTCATGCCTATAATCCCAGCATTTGATAAGTTGAGGCAGGAAAATCAGCAGTTCCAGGTTACCCTGAGCTATATGATACAGCATCCAAACAATAGAAATAAATTAATTTAAATAAGAATTTTAAAAATAAATTTAAAAATATAAAGATACAGCATATGCTTCAAGTGAATTTAAGATCCTTATATGTAAACCATAACAATTCAGTACTCTGCACTGTAGCATTGTAAATGTCTCTAGTAAGCACATATAAACATATCATGAAGTATAAGACACCACGAGATACAATTCTCTCGTTTTTTTCATTTTCTTCCTTGATCTACAAGATACCACCTACATGGTAACTGTTGATGTGACTATAAATAACACAAGGGGCGTGTGATGTAATGACACACATTTTAGACTGGAAGAGTAAATGCCTGCCCTATCAGAAGGAACAGTGCTTTGATGAGCTATATTCTTAGCTGGTTCTAAAGGGATTTGCCTTTCTGTCCTTTCCTTGAGCTGTTAAGAACCATACTCACCTGATGGACGGCTTTTAACAAGCAAGGTATTCTATTGAAATCTGGACATGCTCACTGAGCTCATTTTTATGTGTATTGTACCCGAGGAACGTACTCCACAGCGTGCCATCTTGTTACACGGGTCAGTTCTGGTTAAGCCAATATAAACTCTTAATATATTCATTAGATAAAATGTTAAGAAACTGAAGGGCATGGAATCAGTCCCTTTAAAGAAGTGGTTCACAACCTTCCTAATGCTGCAACCCTTTAGCACAGTTCCTCATGTTCTGGTGACTCTAATCATAAAATTATTTTTGTTGCTACTTAACTGCAATTTTGATGCTGTTATGAATCATATTGCAAATATCTGTGTTTTCCTATAATCTTGGGCAACCCTTGTGAAAGGGTCATTCAATCTCCCTTCAAGAGGCCGTGACTCACAGGTTGAGAACTGCTGCTTTAAAGTTTAACACTGAGCATCTTTCTCATAGATATTCAATATGACCTCCCCAGGATACATATAATACAGTAAACACAACTGCCCCGATTGCCTGAGACTGAATATGTTATCCTATTTGAATGTGGCTCTGGGGTATGAAGAAGTACTAAGGCCCATGGTCTCTTAGATATGCATACCTGACCCCCACACAATGTTCACTGGCTACTATCAGTTCCTCTAGGCCTGTGTGACATCTTAGGCTTCAGTTTTATCTTCTTCAAGCTCTTATATGTGGGTTTATAAATTCTGCCATAGGAACTTTGAAAAATGACAAAAACACTGCAACAAAATACAGTATTTTGCTGTGAGATATTTGGAAGGTAAGGCTCCTGTGCCATTTTCCTTAGTGTCATTTGTTTTCTCTCCTACGACTCACCAGCATCACTGTAACTATCACATAGGAAGCTTTTTCCAGGGACAGCAGGTCTGGGCTATCTTCACATGCTGAGTGTGTTTTGAGGAAAGCACTGGCATCTTCAGCTTCTTGCTATTAGTTAACAGTGTGATGCTGCTGTTTGGTTTTGTTTGGGTTTATGTTGCTGTAACTTAACAGCTTTACTGGCTATCCACACATCATGTGACTGACTCCGTTGAAATGTACAGTTCAAGAGTATTTACGGACTGAGAGATGATGGCTCAATGGTTAAGGGCACTTGTTGCTCTCGCAAAGGATCCAGATTCCATTCCCTATACCCAAAAGTGACTCACAACCTTCTGCAACTCCAGATCTGAGAAATTCAGCACCCTTTCCTGACCTCTGTAGGCAACCAGATATACACATACACAGACATACATGCAGGCAAAACACTCATCCACATAAAATGAAATAAATAAATCTTAGAGTTTTTGCCACACTCAGAGTTATGCAACCATCACCACAATCCACTGACATTTTTGTCAGCACAAAAAGAAACCTTAGCAGTGATAACACCTGCCCCAAGTCCTACTCTTCAGCCTGCAGCATCAGCAACAACTAACACACTTCCTGTCAGAGATCTATCAGTTCTGAACACTGCACTTTGTCAAGAGAAACCATGGCAATGGATGACCTTAATATGCTTTAGTTTACATTCCAGAAATCAGGCAGCACTTCGTTCCATACAAGAGGGTAAGTGTCCCTTCACCTGCCCACTATTCCTCCATCCTGAGCACTAACGTGTTAGCCACTGCTCATGGGCCATGAACAGGGACGATCCCTGACCTCTAGGGAAGGGGCCCACAATGAGCAAACACAGACAATACCTCAAATGTGGAGAAAGTGCTATACAGAAAAGCAAAGAGAGGTTGGGACCACAGTCCCTGCCTGTCTCCACACCTGACTATCCAACAAGCTGCTCTAGAGATAGGAAGAATAGCTGGGACCTGACGAGGCATGGGAAGAAAGAGGAAGAGCACCAGAGACACCACAATACAACCTCCAAGTCTACACCAAGGTAGAGACAGTTTTGCAGGTGGCAATGCCAGAGGCAATAGACAGTGCAGAGTACTGGTTTGGCATAGTGAAAAAGAAGGAAGAAGTGCCTGGGTCCTGGAGAAGCTTACAAACTAGAGCCTATAATGTTAGCTGCTGGCTAGAGATGAGTTATAAAAGAAAAGGCAAGTGGGGATGAACCTAGGGTCCCCATGCTCCCAAAAGGGAGACTGTGGCTGCTGCTTCCAGGGGTGCTGCCCTCCCCTTCTGTCTGGGTTGCAGCTGGTTTCCCCTCTTTATTTCACATTTTTCTTCTTTCCATTTCCTTACCCTTTGTATTTGCTAACTCACAAGCAAAATTCAAATAGCACAATTATCTGCTATCTGACACTGTACAGATAAAACAGTACAGTGTCTAAAACATTTCATTTTTTGGGGCATTAGCTTAATAATGGCAACTTTTTCTAGTGAAAAAACCTACTATGTAACTTGAATTGGTACACAATGAAGCACAGTCTAAGACTTCCCATACCTCCCCCTCCATGTCCAAACAAGAGTGCATTCATCATTTCTTGTTGGAGAAAATAAGGATCTTAACCTTCTTTTTGTTTGTTTTGTTGTTGCTATTGTTGTTTGTTTTTCAAGACAGAGTTAGCCCTGGCTGTCCTGGAGCTCACTTTGTAGACCAGACTGGCCTCAAACTCAGAGATCTGCTTGCCTCTGCCTCTCCAGTGCTGGGGCTAAAGGTGTGTACCACAGCCCTGGCTTATACCTTCACACCTTCTTTTAAAAGTTCACTACATAGTCAAGTTCATTGGACCTTCTTCTCTTTCACTTCTAATCCTAACTGCTAAAAAACACATCTTTGTAGGTAAAAGCACTTGCTGCCAAGCCCGATAGTCTGAGTTCAATCTCCAGAACACAGGTGAATAGAAAGAACCAATTCTCTCAGTTGTTTTTACCTACACACACACACACACACACACACACACACACACACAGAGGGGGGTCATGCATGCACCCATACATATTCACAAATACAATAAACAAACATACCTTTTAAAAATATTTCGGAATAAAAGAACTATTTACAAAACCAATAGTTCTTAGTGATTTTTTTAGCATGTGTACATATGTAGTGTATATGAGGGTATGTACACACATGTTCACATGTGAGGAGCACACCAGTGTGCAAGTGTCTGTAAACTTGTGTGAACATGCACACGGAGGTCAATAGGCTGACATATGATGC